GAAAAGAGTTCTTTTTGAAGGAGTAGAGTTTAAGTGCCAGTGACAACATCCCTGAAATGAGGGTTCATTACTGGTTCAACTCTTGCTCCCCACACATCTCACACGGCCAGTCACATAGATCCTATTACCCCTTACCCTAAGACAAGCAGCTTCACCTCTTCCTTGGACTTAGACAATCTCCCATGCTACTTTTACGTTTTCTATCCATTTTCCAACACCTGGCTATTTCCCTATCTGCTATTTCCCTACTTAAAACCTTTCAGTAGTTTCTTGAGATCTTTCCAAGGTCCTGCATGAACTGGCCTCTACTCACCTCCTGAGTGTACTGCAATGTCTCTGCACTCCTTGTGCAGATTCCATCCCCAGTTCAGTTCCCAGGGTATCCACCTCATCCTCCCTGGTCTCAGAGTCTGTGCACACATGCCCTGCAGCTGAATGCCCTACAGATCACTTGCCAATCCTCAGGCCTCTCTCCAATGGTCTTCTCTGATCCTCCTGAGTACAGCGGTCAGGCCTTTCTGAAGGAGGTCTAAGAACCTATTCCTTCACAATACTATCCCCAATTCACAGATATGTTTTAACCAAGGGCAACAAGACAGCCATCTCTTTGTTCAGCCTTACATGCCTATGGCCTGGCACATATGAAGGGGTTTCAAAGACTTTGTGGAAAAACTAGAACTAAGCTGCGAGTTTATTTTGGTACACAAAAGTTTTTTTTGGTTTTTTGTTTGTTTGTTTGTTTTTTTGAGAGATTTTCACTGTAGGGCGCATGTGCTCGCCAGACAGACGGAGAGAGACATAGAGACAGAAAGCGAGAAATCACCCCCCAGGGGGGATGGTCACGCCGCAATCCCTTCTCCTCCATTCTCCTCTTGGGATCTTGGGCACGCACGCACACACGCCCGGCGTGAGTTTTAAGCCACCGGGTCCGGGACACGAACCGCGGTCGACTACGTGGGAGTCCAGCGGCATAGCCATTATGCTAACTGCTGGTTCCCGGTACACAAAAGTTTTTGAAATCAGTACCTAGGTTTTTCATGATATGTATTTTCCATTAACTTTTTAAAGACCCCTTGTAATAGAGGCTCTATATAGATGACAACACAACCTATCCTGTGCTCAGAGGTGGAGACAACTCTCCCTGGATATCTCACTGATCTTGTTTCTAACATAAATTTACATGAACTTTTCCCAGATTTAACACCAGCAGAACTACCAGGAGCCCTCTCAAACTCCTTCCTTTTGGGGATCTCTCATCTCCCTCAGCCATGGATATTCCCAGTTTTCCACAATCAGGAAAAGGTCTGATATAAATCCATTCAAGGAGGGCAGGCAATGGCACAGTGATGCTGCAACTGGACCAATATGGAAAGGGTGCTGGGTTCACATCCCGGGACCTCCCTGAGCATGCCCTGAGACTAGGAGTGCCTCACAGCACAAGGACCCTGCTGGGGACCTCTATCTGTCTCTCAATAAATAATCTTCTCGTTTTTAGAAAAGAGAAAAATCCATCCAAGGAGACACACCTTATTAGGACAGTTGAGGCTGCTGACCAGCAAGAGGGTGAGGGTAGGGAGAATCAGGAGCCATGACACAAAGTCTTCCCAGATTCATTAGAAAATGGACAGGCCAGAAGGGACACTGATCTCCTCAGCCCTGAAACTCCAGGACCCCTCAGGGCACAGTGTGTCCACTCACCTCCACCACCGTTATTCCCAGGAGAAACCCAAGCCAATAGTCTGACTGGCCTTTGCTTTGCCCGACACTGACAAAGCAACATGAGCTTTCATAATTAGATTTCCTAAACAAGTGTGCTCATTACTGCAATAGCCTTTCACATTTCCAATATTTTTGTGAAGTCTTCTTGAAGTCTGTTGTTTTGTTTTGTTCATCAAACCTACAGCTTAGAATTTCCAGAGAAGTAGCAAAGGGTGTTTTTATCCTTTAAGAATAAACCCAGTGTCCTCCCACATGACAAAAAAAAAAAAAAAAAAGGCCCCCTTGCTCTTCTCTTCTCCCTTCTAGATGGTATTGTAACTCTCTGTGGGGTTGGGGAAAACCCTTCAGCTTGGGACTGTTCCTGCCCCTGTGGAATACTGATATTCCACCTCTGATCACTTCAAAGATCCTGACCAGTACTAATCTTTTAACATTCATCTAAGATTCCAAAAGTTGAAAGATAAGAGTCTCCAGTAAAATGTCAGAAGTGGTTGTGACAAGAAAAAGGAGAGTCTATGGGTATCTGACTAACATCTCCATGACTGCCAAGCGTTTAAGGACAGACACAATCCCTACAGGGTGAGGAAGGACAGGGTAAGAGCAGAGAATGGGAAAGGAGGGATTCCTTCCTGCTAAGCAGGCCCTCGGCCACTTCACTCCCTCCGCAGCCTGGAGAGACACCAGGCCCGTCATTGTGGGTTTGGAACTACAGAAGGGAAGAGTTCCCAGAATGCCCTGTTGCCAGCATCTATTAAAAAGCTACCCAGGCTGCCCAAGTCCACAGGTCTAAATCAGGGAGAATCCAACTGTCCATTCTGTCTGATGTCAAGCTCTTGGAAGCTTACTTGCCTGAGCTACTGTTTTTCTGAACCTCTGTCAGTTACCCAGCGTTGTCGGTCACCAACAAACCCACATGTTCCCCTAAGCTTGGTCACAGACCTCAGTTTTCTACAATATAGGGGGGTGTACAAATGTATACAGTCTGGGGTCACTGACACTGGAGGACAATGCCAGGCCACATCCAGAAACTGCCTGAGATGCCCTTGTGGGCGCAGCAAGCCCTAACATGGCAACCGCGGTACACATGGCCTGTTTCCGAAGCTTTCCCCCCATTAACTGAGTTCATCCTCATACAACGCAGCGTGACTGCCTCCATTCTGCATGCAGGAGAAGGCAATTTGCCCAAAGTCACACAGACACAGGAGCCGTGCTGGGACTGGATTGAATGCTCTGGCTTGTCTGAGGTCCTGCCTACTCTGCTGGATGACAGCAGGGTCCACACAGACCAGATGGTGTTGCAGCAAATCCTAACCATACACACCCATTAAAGGCCATCTTCTATCCCAGTCATCCCCCACTGCCAACACAAAGGGCAGTAGAAAGTGTGGCCCTGGGGCTGGCTTGGCAAGGGCAGTAGATGTGTTTCTAGACATTGCCATGAATGTGACAAATAACAAAGTCGGTGCTCCTACCTTACAACTTTCCCTAGAGAGCAGAAGCCTCACTTTCAGCCCCTAACCACCCTCCATGAATAGCTCTGGGTATCTGCAAAGGGGGCAGGAGAGGTCTGCATGGAAGAGCCTGCACTGCCTTGTTTAGAGACCCTCCCACCACTTCCTGATGGGCGAGGTCATGTACACAGACAGCAGATCCTACGGCGGCCATTCTTGATGTCTAAATGGCTACAAGGCTTATTGAAAATCCGGGTCAGATACTTATCAGTCCTAGCCCTTGAAGAATCAGGTTAAACGGTCACTCTTTACTCAAGTCATGTTGCCCTTTGCCCATCTTGCAAGAGTTCCATGACAAAGGAAGGTAATAATGACAAGGTACAATAGCTAAACATTTATCAAGCATTTCCTATCTGCCAAATGCTGTTCCACAGCTTTCTGACTTGATCTCATTGTCTGTTTCTAAAACTTCTGCTTTGTAGGTCACTTAGGTGGTGAGGGGCAGGGCTGGGATTCGAAGAGAGGTCTACCTGGCTCTATCGCTAGGCCCTCAGGACCACCGCTCACCCTCCCCTGTCCTGGTGCTGTGGGCAGCTACTCCCTGCCTGTCCTATGGTTTCTTAAATGATCCCAAGGTCTTAGTTTTCTCTCCATCATATGCACAGAGACCAAAAGAAAGAACACAGAACAGCTGTAAAA